GCCAGTGTGTATCTGTAAGGAAGGTGTGTGCGTGTGTACATGCCAGTGTGTATCTGTAAGGAAGATGTAGTTGCCTAATTCACACGCTGTGACTAGTTCTTCCTCTGAGCAACACTTGCAAACCTCGTCGCAGGCCCAGTACCATCAGCAATGCTCTCAGACGCCAACAGTGCCCAATTTGCAACAACTGGTTTGCAAAAGCCTCCATCGCGTGGAGAAAAGAGTCGGCGTTGACCTGATGATCCAGTTACAAAGCGGCCGCGTCCTTCAGCAGGAGCTGCTCTGGGGCCCTTGTCTTCCTGCTCTTGGATGAGTCCACCGGGAGAGTGGAAACGCAGTTCTTCTCTTGCATTTACATCCCTGAAGCTCTTTGAAAGCAAATTAAACACCTTGGGCTCCCCAGCTGCAGAACGTGCTCTGCCGAGGAACGTCTTTTGAAGGCAACCAAGGCAAAGACCATGATGGTGTGAGCCCCAGCACGCTCCAGCGGAGGTCAGGGCACGTCAGAGTTCCCTCATCAGACGCCCCTTTATCGTCTTTATTTCCAAATTAAAACACGACACACGGATTTGTGCCATCTATTAGTGTCTTCCAAGTCTTCCTCTAATTACCCTGGCCTCTCACTTACAGTCAGGTGACATGACCCAGAAGCACACGCAGGGTTAGCCGACTGTGTAAGCCAAACGGGGCTAAGGATGACAGGAGCGCATTCCCTTTTAAGTGGCCCGCCCCTCAGCTGCACACTTCTGAACACACTCCACATCTGATACGAGGGGCACCCCGGCAAGCTGGGAACTGCTCGGCGACTCCAAACTCAGAGCAGAGGGCTGGAGAGGGGCTGATGCGGGCCAGCCCACTCGGAAGTCAAGCACCCGGAGTCAATTTGGGGACTATTTTCTCTCCAGGAACACGTGCTACATTAGATGGATGTCATCACTGAAGTCCCCTCATTCCTGCCTGGCTTTCACTTACTACTTCAGTTTCTCCGAGTAATGAGGAGAAATAGCGAATGGCAAAAGGCGTTACAACATCCCTACGCACGTGAACTTCACCTGACAACGTGACCCCGTGAGAGGGCTCACTTGGCACGTACTTACTCAGTGACAAGGTGACCCAGTGAGAGGGCTCACTCAGAGTGTATTTACTCAGTGACAAAGTGACCCCATGAGAGGGCTCACTCAGCGTGTACTTACTCAGGGACAAGATGACCCAGTGAGAGGGCCCACTCAGCGTGTATTTACTCAGTGACAA